TCCATGGTTGCCTCAGTTTTTACCCTGTACAAATGGGCCATTATGTCCCAGGCACATTGAGGAGGGATGGCCGTCCGCACCGAATCCAACTATCTTTACCGAAACCATCAAGTTTAGCTTGACTTCATGCAAGAGTATTTTAATTACATTTTATTGACACAATACAACTATTTTAAAGTCACCTACGCTTTTAATGTGAAGGCTGTTTACGGTAGGGTGCAACAAAGGAAATTTTCCTAACTTGCGGGCCCCTCCTTCCCTTCCCCAAGTCCTAGCCTATTAAAAACCCGGGAAAAACCCTGACTTGGGGCCTTTGATTTCGAAGTCTTTTGCTTTTAGTAAATACTGTCATAAACACTGAATATGTAGATGGATACCAAATGAGTGAGTTTTCTCATGTCATTAATAAAAATCACAATTCTATAGAAAGCTCAACTGAACATTCAGTGTCACATGGCTTCAGACACAAATCTTTTGTTTTTACTTTAGAGATTTTTAAAATGCAGAAAACATGCAGGTGTTGGTTTATTTGGGGAGGGTCTAAAATCATGGGATTTGTCATGTTCCTAAATCAGTTTTGTTTTTTACACATTTTGCCTCTAAATATAGTTCCCTTCTATCTCCCTGGGTATGGGAATAGTTATGTATGTAATTGTTAAATGCAGCTGAAAAGACCATTTATCACCCTGAACAAACAGAAATCAGGTTCTAAAACCAGATTTGAAAGAAGGAAATTACATCACACTTTTAAATAAGGAAGCACTGGGCAGAACTGGATGAGTCGAGTGACAAAAATGTGCCCCTCCTCCTCTTGTGGGTTGCTTCTCAGATTTATTAATGAGATCTGGTGGCCAGGTAAGCAGATCTAGGTTATTGTCTTAAGGTAGCCTGGTTTTTTCAAACAGTTTCAAAGAGACTGTCCTCAAGGTAAAGTTCACCTTAATAAAGGATGTGTAAAGACAGTGCTTACTGGTGTAGCTTTTCTGTTTTGTTTCTTTAACAGCGAAAACACAGTAGGTGTGTTATAGTCCAGAAGCGATAACATATGAGAGAAGGGGAAATTCAGAGTTTCCGGAAAGCACTCCCCTGATTGTCTTCAGTAAATATACAGTAACAGAAACCAATTTAGCTTATATTTTTACCCGGTCTTCAAACTGTCCACTTTGGATTTTGGAAAGAATTTAATGAGAATTGCCTGCTATATCCTGAACATATCCCTTACAATCCTGTTTTTTCCCTTAGTATATGTGAATCTTTCATATAATTACTTTAAAAAAGAGAGAGAGATTTTCTCTCAGTGTCCACTTAGTGACTATTTATTAGAAATGAATGGTGCCAGGATCTCCGGGGGAAACAGGCCCTGTGCTAGAAGGTTTGGAGGATGGGAAGGGAGTGGGGCCCAGCACAGAACAGGCTCTGCTCACACCCTCGGGGAGCAGGTGGGCTAAGAGCTGGCCCTAGGGGAGCAGCTCCACCAGATGTGGGGGAGAGGCTGGTAGGCTGGAGCCCCGTGTGGAGGCCTTTGTGCGGCCTGAGGCGCGCAGTCGGAAGGTGTGCGGTTGGGCCGGGGCTCAGGAACGCTGATCCAGGGCTGAAGCGCGGGTGGGCTGGTGTTTCGGACCCGAGCCGAGGGGTGCCAGTGCGCGGGCGGAGGTGGGCTTGGGACCGCATAGGCCCGGACCACGGAGCTGGGGAACTGAACTAGATGGGCTGTGACTCAGGCTAAGAATGGTGCCTCTAGGAAAGTGCCATCCTCCCAGACCAGCGATTTTCAACCTTTTTCATCTCACCACACATGTAAACGAATTACTAAAACTCTGCGGCACGCCAAAAAATATATTCTATATTTCCCGATCTGACCAAAGGAAAAAAAGGAATAACTTTGATTCACTCACACTGGACGGCTATTGTTGTGCTGGCTGTTGTCATTTTTTTTACAATCTCAGGGAAAAGAGGTCAGTGCCCCTGACTAAATAGTCAGGTATTGCATGTTTTAAAAATTCTTGTGGCTCACTGGGTGAAAATCGCTGTCTTAGACCCTGAACTGGTTTGGGACGGTGGGTGGGGTGTGAAGTGACAGGAGTTCGGTTTGTAGAGCTGGGGACACCAGAGGACCACCCAAGTGCAGAGATAGTCACCAGACAATGGGAAATGCTAAGAGGAAGCTTGAGCCAGGGCTGGAGTCAAGATTCCGGGCTGTCTGTGCTGAGTTGAAGGGTCAGAACTTGGGGTGGTGTAAGGATCTAAAAGGACCACCTCAAGAAGCATGGTTTTGCAGAGGGGGGGGTGTCTCTTGAATGGAAAAAAAAAACCAAGTGATATTTTAACAGGAAAAAGTTCACATCTGGGGATTGGTATATATATATTTTAACAGAGAGAGAGGGAGAGAGAGAAACATCAATGGTGAGAGAGTCGTCATTGATCGACTGGGGATCGAGCCCGCAACCCGGGCATGTGCTCTGACCGGGAATCGAACTGTGATCTCCTGGATCCTAGGTCGATGCTCAACCGCTGAACCACGCTTGGACAGGCTGGGATTGGTATTTAACTGCATTTTTGACACACTTAAAAGGCTAAAGATGAGTTCAGGAATTTCAGAAAAGTTATTATGCCCAAGGTTATTTAGATCCTGATCTGTCCCACGCTGCCTGGATTAATTTAACATTGGTTTTCCTATTTCCCTTTCCTAACAATCCCATCTTGTACTTACAGGTACTAGTTTTCCCACATAGGTATATTTTTTGCTCTTGTTTTACAAATGAAGTGTAAGGCAGAGCTAGTTTTAGTTATAAGGAAACAAAATTTGAAACACTGCAGCATTGCCTGGCCGGTGTGGCTCAGCGGTCGAGCGTCGACCTAGGATCCAGGGGATCGGGGTTCGATTCCCGGTCAGGACACATGCCCGGGTTGCGGGCTAGGCAGCCGATCAATGACTCTCTCTCGCTCTCCTTTCCTCTCTCTGAAATCAATAAAGATATGTTTTAAAAAAAACNGCAGCCGATCAATGACTCTCTCTCGCTCTCCTTTCCTCTCTCTGAAATCAGTAAAGATATGTTTTAAAAAAAAACCCAAAAAACAGCATTAAATTTCCCTTGAGCAGTGGGTTTTCTTTTTAACCTGAGGCTGACCAAATTGATTGATCCACCTCCCCCACCCCCACCCCCGGGAGCATGTGGAGCGAATACTTAGCGTTTTGAGAGTGATAAAAAGCATCTCAGGTTTCATGCCCTCAGTTTACCATCTGGGACACATTTTAAAAGTTTGTTCCCAAACCTGTGGCAGGTTGCCCTCTTCGAGTCTACAGTTCGGAGTTATTTTCCAAAAGAAGAGAGCCTAAAATTACACTGCCCTCCTCGCTTCTCCCATGCAGCAAGTAGGACGTGTAGGAAGTTCCGACAGTTTCATAACCGGCCCATTCACAATTCCCCATTGAGATGTGGAGGCAGGTCACCTCTATGAATGCACAAAGGCACGATTGTGGCCAGAAGTGAGCTGGCTCAGTGAACACAATTCTTTTTAGACTAAAAAAATTTTTTTCTTAAGAAAGCTAACAAGTAGGTGATGGAAACAATGAATAAAAAAATAACTTTTTCTAGAACATATAAATAATTTTAAGGGGCCATTGAAATGTAAGTTTAGGATCGAGGCGATTTCAGCAGAGGCCACAGTTACACAATCGTTCTGTTGAAAGCTCAGATTGAGATGGCATTAGGAGGCCGCCACACAGTAATTACTAGTCCTTGCTGGCCTGCGGACAGGTGGGGGTTGGGCTGCAGGATGCCCACAGCGCGGGCTTCCCTGGCGGGACGAGAGGCCCCGCGTGCTTGCCCACCGCTGCGCACCATGTTCTTCCTGCCTGGCTCCTCGTTTTCCTGCTGCCGAAGACACTTCCCCTGTAGTCCTGCCAGTGCTTGCAGAGTGCCTGGCAATGATCCTAACAATTGGTTTTTAAACTGTTATATAGCTTTACTGAATTCAGGTAAAGAAAGGAAAACACATTTGCTTCATTTCAATGATCTAAAAACCTACCTTCAAAAAAAAAAAAAACCTCCCAAAAATTCAGATTTACTAAATGATGGGGTTTTTTTTCTGTTCTCAATCACATATCTTTGAGAGGCCAACTAAAGGGAAGTAATGCTTCACTCTTTGAAATACTATTTAAATACTGTTTTAAACCTATTTAAATGTCTGACTAGTGTGGCAAAACAGCTGACTTTGGGAAAGTAACAAGCTGAGAATCAGTGACTGGGGTGACCCATCCTCACTCTGACACTCCAACATGACTGTCTCTCCATTCCTTTTATGTGGAAAAAACAATTTTTAGCTTAAAAAACAACCTGTGCCTTATACATTTTATACATTCAGTTGAGACCGATGATAATATTAGATGGTATTGTACAAACATTCACTTACTGAGCTCCCGCAGTGTTCCAGGCAGCCGTGGTTCATGGTTGGAACATAGCCTCTTATCTGAGCTCAGTCTAGTAGGAGGTGACAGATTTGTCCCTGAAACAAAGTCCTCGACACCCCGGCTCTCAGTAGGTGTACACACTTTTGGTGAGAATGAAAGCATTGTAAATCTAGATGCCCGCATCTCAAAAGGGGTCAGTGATACACACATAGTGGGCAGGTTAGGTCCTAAACCACAGATTAGCTGAAGACAGAGCCGAGATAGATGCTGAGTAACATAGGCATTGAATGCTATAATGAATAATAAAAGTAAAGTTAAAAAGAGGCTCTGGGGCCCTGGCCCATGCGGCTCAGGTGATTGGGCGTCTTCGCAGGCACCAAAAGGTCGCTGGGACAGTTCCCCAGGTTGTAGGTTCGGTCCCCAGTTGGTGTGCGTACCAGAGGCAACCGATAGATGTTTCTCTTTCTCTCCCCCTCAAATCAATAAAAACAATAGAGAGAGAGAGAGAGAGAANGCAACCGATAGATGTTTCTCTTTCTCTCCCCCTCAAATCAATAAAAACAATAGAGAGAGAGAGAGGGGCTCTGGGGTAACCTCTGACAAGGGAGAGGGATTCCTGAAAGTTGAGGACTTGGCTAGGTTAAGGAAAACTGTACTCCTGGCGGGTAGCCCTGCCTTGCAGCTGGGCACCTCAGAGGAGAGCGTGAAGGATGTGCCTTTACGTTTGTCTCTGAAGGGGAAGGGGGAGCTGTCCCAGACTGCCACCAAAGCCAGTCATCTTGCAGAACTTGATTTTTACGGGATAATAGAAACTAGTGTCTTCCTATATTCCTTTATTCTTGAACAAGTAATCACTGGGGAATTTGTCTTCCCGGGGCCAGCCCTGAAATAGAGAATCCAAATAAATGCTGGGCAGTGGGCTAGTGAGGTGCCGCGTGTAGGCTCTGTCGTCTGGTGCAGGCGGCGGGTCCTCGCGACTGTGCCTCTGCGGTGGGGCCCCGGTCATTTCTGAAGGTCGGGCCATGGGAGCTCAGGGCCAGCGGGGCTGCTGCGCATCTGCGGCCCCGCCACGAGGTCTGCTCTCCCTGGCCACGGGTTATTTCTCACTTTGCTCAGAACATCGCAAATCTTGGATCAGGACTTAGGAAAAAAATTACTTTTACTGTCCACATTTAAGTACCCTCACGAGGAGTAAGAATGAATGCAAACATGTCAGAATTAAGCGAGTCTGCAACCAAGCTTCTCTGCTCAGCATCCCCGGGATTCTTTAGGATTAGCTATTTGTGGGTATTTCGAAACTTTCCTGTACCCTCTCATCCCTTCTTGATCCCTCCAGGGACCGAAAGCTGCTGGCTGACTGACAGAGCCCTCAGATCCTCGTGTGAGACACAATGTCAACCGCAGGAGTCGCTGCCCAGGAGATTCGAACCCCGTTGAAAACTGGGCTTCTGCACAATGGCCAGGCCATGGGGAACCTGAACACGTGCTGGGGCAGTCGCCGGGAGTTTGAAAAGTAAGTGTGAGACGTGATGCTCGGACCCGCTCAGTGAGCGAACAAAACGAGATGGACAGTGCCGTCGCTCCTTGTTTCTGACCAAGATGTCTTTGCTGTATTTCAGTAACTTTTTAAACCTTGACCCAGTAACCATGGCCTACAATCTGAAGTCGACCGCTCAGGCGCACCTGATGTCTCTTGGTATGTGTCCTGCAAATCCGGGGAGTCTGCCTGGGAGAGGAAGGTGGCAGCGGGCTGTTAGCGTGTCCTCCATTCTTACTTTTTAAATGAGGGAACAACCTGAACGACTTCCAACAATAGTCTGACCCCTGGTGGCAACAGATTCTGAAGATAACCTTGATCTTTCCAAACTATTGTCCCTGATCCCAAGTCACTGGTTCCCAACTAGATCTACTTGTGGAAGTTCAAGAATTAAGTTCTAATCCCAGCCACGATACACACCTAACTTTTAGAAACCTCAGGCAAGACCTCTCGTCTTCCTTACTAGTACTGAATGCCTGTTTTAAAGGGATAAAATAGCCCGGCAGGTGTGTCTCAGTGTTGCGCCTCAGCCCGCGCACTGGGAGGTCGCCGGTTCGGTTCCCGGTCAGGGCACATGCCGGGGTTTCGGGCTCGATCCCCACAGAGGGTGTGCAGGAGGCAGCCGATGTTTCTGTCTCTTCCTTTCCCTTCCTCTCTACCTAAAATCAATAAAAACTTTTTTTTTTTGAAGTGATAAAGGAGTATAAATGTTGATAAAAACTTAGGAAGGTGTGTGATACACCGTATAGTGCTTATTACGTGGACATTATGTTCCTTAGGTTGTTGTCGAGAGCTACTTGTCACATTGCCAGCAAGGCCGCTCACTCGCGGGGTTACGGTGCTAGCCGAGGGCCTCCTTCTCCCAGTGCCCTGCGCACCGCGTGTGGTCGCGTCTCTCCAGTGACGAGGCTGCTGTAGTGTGGTATTCATGGAAATTATAGGCTGTTCATCATCTGCAAATTTTGCACATGTCACAGAACCTGCCTGAGGTGTGTGGGTGTGTGCCGTGCACATGTCCAGGGGAGATAGAAGAGATAGTTTGTTCTTTGAACCAGATCATGTGCGTTAACAATCTCCTGGGCTCTAATTACACCTGTGGCGTGGCGCGGTGCTCTCAGCCCGTCGCTGGGGTTGAGGCGGCAGCCCTGGGAGGGCAGGCGGCGGGGCTGTGCCCACACCAGGGGGAGCCCTGCTGCCCCTTTACTAACCTCTCTGTCCTTTCCAGGGCGCACCTCGACATCTGCTCCGACGAATGGCCACCGCTTTGCCGAGCATGGCCCTTCTAAGAAGCCCAGCCTGCCCCCTCTCATCCTTCCCCCAAGTGAAAGCTTGGGACCCCACAGTGAGGATCAGGTTGTATGTGGTCTTAAGAAACTCTCGGTGAATGGGGTGTGCGCCCCCACCCCTCCGCTCACACCCATGAAGAATGGCCCGTCCCCCCTCCCCTGCGCTGCGCTCTGCGAGCGGGGCTCCAGGCCCCTTCCCCCGCTGCCCATCTCTCTGGACGACACGGACTGTGAGGTGGAGTTCCTCACCTGCTCCGACACGGACTTCCTTTTGGAAGACCACGCAACTCCTGAGTTCAAGTACGGCGGGCCCGGCCGGCGGAGCTTCCGCGGGTGCGGGCAGATCAACTACGCCTACTTTGAAACGCCCACGGTTTCCGTGGTGGACCTCAGCCAGGCCCCGGAGCAGAGCGCAGGCGGGCGGCACGCAGACCCTCCTCCGCCGCAGAGCCACCGAAGGCTGCGGCGGTCTCATTCGGGCCCAGCCGGGTCCTTCCACAAGCCAGCCATAAAGATACACAGCTACGTGCACAGAGCTTCTCCAAACTCCGATGAAGACAAACCCGAGGTCCCCCCCAGGGTCCCCATTCCTCCCAGGCCCTTGAAGCCAGATTACAGAAGGTGGTCGGCGGAGGTTACCTCCAGCACCTACAGCGATGAAGACAGGCCTCCCAAAGTGCCACCAAGAGAACCTTTGTCACGGAGTAACTCCCGCACGCCGAGTCCGAAAAGCCTTCCGTCTTACCTCAACGGGGTCATGCCCCCCACGCAGAGCTTTGCCCCCGACCCCAAGTATGTCAGCAGCAAAGCTCTGCAAAGGCAGAACAGCGAGGGGTCTGCCAGTAGGGTTCCCTGCATCCTGCCCATCATTGAAAATGGGAAGCAGGTCAGTTCCACACACTATTACCTCCTACCTGAGAGGCCGCCCTACCTGGACAGGTACGAAAAGTTTTTCACGGAAGCCGAAGAAGCAGACACAGGCTCACAAGTGCAGCCGTCACCTGCCGACGGCAGTGTCATCGCAGCCGCGGAAAAGCTGGACTCAAAAGCCAAAGTGGATCCGGGTGGCCCCGTGAAGCGTAAACACTTGTCCTACGTGGTTTCTCCGTAGACTCCGGGGTCACCGTTCGGCCGAGGTTCCACGAGAGCAAATGGCTCTCGAGCAATTTCCCAGTTTGACTAAGGCTCACGGGAAAATGTTTCAGGTGCAGAAAAACTGTTGAACTCTGTAAAGAGAGAGGTTGAGAGGTGCTGTTATGCTGAGGATCCCGGGTTTCGCTCGCCTTGGAGAAAATTCTGTCCAAATCTGTGAAGACGTGAGGGCGGGGAGGGGGGCAGTCGGGGAAGCCTTCACACACGCATCCGTCCTATGCCTATATATAAACTCGGGGTGGCCCGAGTGGCAGGTTAACCGTTAGCTCCTGTCGTAGAGTGGTATGTATTCAGAATGACAGAAACTCACGCTGGACAGTGACTCCTGAGAGACTGAAAATTGGGCAAACGGGAGAGAACACAGTATTTAGATCAGAATCATAAAAAATTATTTTTGCTTAGTAAGTTTGAAGATTTCTGGCTCTTTGGTCTGTTATATTTTGTTTGATTTATTTTGCAGCCTTTTCCATGGGAACGGGGCGGGGGGGGAATGTCCTTACTGTGGCTGTACCTGCCTAGTTTAAAAACCATCCCAAGACCTAAAGACTTCCAGGCGTCACTCCCTGTTTCGCTGAGGGGAGGGCTAGCAGTTTATTCAGCAACCACATTTCCACCTGTACATGTCTCACATCTTGAAAAATGAGAAGATGATAGAGCATTTTCCTTACAATTCCGGCTTTGTTCCACCCACTAAAACGGCCCACTGTCGCACATGCCTTACAGAAACAGTGGGGCGCAGTGGACTCAGCAAACTGTTCACCCGTGTCTAGAATGTCACTTTCAAACAATAATGAAACACTTAGCTATGTGATTGAGAGTTACTGTGTGGGGATGTGTGTTTTGGGGGGTTTTTTTAGACTTAATAAACAAATACAACACAAGCTGGCCTTGTGTTGCTGGTTCCTACTCAGTATTTCCTTTTTAAGTAAAACACTCTGACCAAGAGCGCACTACGTCTTAATATCAGAGGTCACATCAGCACCGTCTGCTTTTTAAATCCCTCAGCTGGCTGCTTCCCCCTTTCCGCCGCCCCCCGCTCGCTCCCCGCGCCCGCTTCTGCGTATTTATCTCGCAGCCCGTCCGCTGGGCTCCGCCAGCCTGCGCCCCCGGCCCGCGCCGCTCCTGCTCACACCGCCACAGCTTCGCGTATTTATGGCGCACGGCTGGGCACAGAAGAGAAGGTGCTTCCTAACAGGTGCATTACTGCAGTGCTCGCAACAGTTCACACAAGCTGTTTACAGTTCCAACTGCTGGATGATCATCTGAGCTATTTAAAGCTGATACTTTAGTCTGAACTAAATGAAGGTTAAAACATGCTTTAGAAAAATGCACTGATTTCTGCATTATGTGTACAGTATTGGACAAAGGATTTTATTCATTTTTGTTGCATTATTTTGAATATTGTCTTTTCATTTTAATAAAGTTATAATACTTATTTATGATACTGTTAACAATGTTTCTTGCCTAAACTCTCACGGCCTCAGGTGGGACACAGACCAGGGAGGGTGGCTCCACGGGGGGCTGTGCGTCCCCCAGCCCTCCAGAGGCACAGCCTGTCCCCATGGGTGTCTTAAGTGCGTGCAGTGTTTCCGCTACTTTATCAGCATCTTTTTTTTTTTGCCTTTTGTCCCCCCTCACTGCCTTTCTTTGTATTGTGGTGGGAACTATAAAGATAGTCATAGCCTAATTTTTAACTCATGTAGTAAGATTAGATCCACGTTTGCTTCCCTCTTACCTTCGGGATTTCCCTTGATTTTAGGAGAACGTGCATTTTCCTATTTCCGGCCCATGGCAGTTCCTGCTGCCATGCTAATGCCACGTAACTAGAACTCTGCCCATGGCACCATTTGCCAGCTCAGTCCTCAACCAGCACACTGAGCAAAGTGCTCTCTAAAGCATTCTCATTGCTCAGCCGCGTCCTGCCAGCTGCCACTGGTGCACTGCTGAGTTCTCTCCTAGAGCCAGGTACTATCTAGGAACTGAGTACTGGCCTAAAGTCAGGAAATGGTGGGCTCCAGTCTTAACCCCTCCCATCCCACGGGCAGGATTCCCTTAGCTTCTCTGAGCCTCACATTCCCATCAACGTGGGACCATGCCAGAGCAGGACACAATACCCTGCAAACCCAAGGGATTTGTCATTAGGGACTTGAATGGCAGAAAGCAGAAGCTACGGTCAAGGGGACCCATGAAAGTCAACTCCAGGTTTGGGTATTACATTTAAGTCTTCCCAGGCTGCAATAATCAGTATACATTCCCTGTCTTATTTTTGTTAAATTCCACATGCTAATGGCAGTTTAATCTTGTTTATAGGTTATTTCTCTCTAGGTCTCAAGTGATGTCTTCACTATGTTATGAAAAGAATTATCTTTAAGAGGATGTTTCTTCATTGCGAGGGGCCCTGTTGAGGTCCACTGAGCCTTCCAGAGTGTTTCCTAGTTGGAGAAAAGAACTACATCTGTCTACTGATTCAAGAATCAAAATAATATGTTAATTTTATTTTAGTTCTTAAGTTCACATAATTTATACTTTTTGAATATATGGAGACTTTTTCTTAAAAATAAGTTCCTAGCATGGTTATTACATGGTTTTGTTTTTTTTACTTTTTGAAATAATTATAGACTCCTAAGAAGCTTCAAAAATAGTACAGAGAGGTCCCCTGTACCCACTCCCCAGACTCCCCCAATAGCATCTTACATAATTACAGTCCATTATCAAAACCAAGTCATTGACAGTCACAATATATACAGAAATAGTTACCATCAAAATGGACTTTGGTCCTACTTTTTAATGTACAAATTAACATTGGCATTCTGCTAGGCATTTTGTGCAAAGCTAATAAAGCTTTCAAAATACATTGCCACGTAACTACTTGCAGGATACGGTGATGGTAACTGAGAAGATAAACTGATGGTAACTTTGATCTGCCAAGATTTTCTGCAGGATTAATTTGCATTCGCTCGAGTAAAGAGGACTTCCAACTGCGGGTTCGTGAGCAGTGCTTCCTTTAAAGGCCTTCGGGCACACACAGCCTGGAGGTTTCCCGTCGTAAATGTGTCAGCTCATCAGGAAGCCAACTGAGTTTCTCAACCAGGACTAGAGCTTGAGGTATCCTTGTCGTTAGGAAAGCAAGTTGGGCTCAAACTAAGACACTCAGCAACATGTTTTCTTTGTAGACTGGATGACTGACCGATGTTCTGGCCCTTTCCTTCCACATGAGACAACTTTTTTTTTTTTTAATATGTCTTTATTGATTTCAGAGGGAGGAAGGGAGAGGGAGAGAGAAACCAGTGATGAGAGAGTCGCTGGTCGGCTGCCTCCTGCACGCCCCCGACTGGGGATCGAGCCCGCAACCCGGGCATGTGCCCTGACCGGGAATCGAACCCTGATCTCCTGGGTCCTAGGTGGATGCTCAGCCACTGAGGCACGCCGGCCGGGCGAGAATCACAACTTTTAAGAGAAGTCCTGGGGATTTATTTGGAGAAAGGTGAGAGAGGCGAGAACAGGGTAGAAGACTGAAATGTGTCCAAACTTGGCTACGTCCCCTTTCGCTCCTTGTCGCTAAGTGAACGAGTGAGACGTGTCTAATGCAGTTGGAGGGCGTGAATTTTCATGCTTCCTCTGCAAGCATCAAACTTTAAGGTACTTCTGCCTAAGCCGCTGAGAATCACTCTGGAAGCGTGTTTAAACAGGCCCAGCTCTGCTTCATGTTATCAGAGCTCAGCGGCCAACATACTTGGCGGGGATGTACTTCTGTCCCCGAGGAAACCCTGCCACCCTGTAACAGCCCCGTTGCTCCTCAGGGTCCGCGCGGCCTGGCAGGGGAGCAGATGGGGTTCGGGGACGGGAGGAGGCTTGGGGACAGCGGGGAAGTACGAGTGTTGACCTGCCTGGCCACGGGGCTGAGGCCTGCCTCCCCCGGCATCGGCGCTGGGTCTGCCGTTCCAGAAAACCGCCAGGAGCCCCAAGCAAGTCAGCCTGCAGCAAGCTCACTACCACAGCATCCACGAGGCCGCCTAAAGCTGCAGCTGCTCCGCTCCCTAAGAAGGCCAGGGGAGGGCCCAGTCCGTGGGAGAGAGTGTGCGTGTGTGAGTGCGCGAGTGGTGTCGCCTTGGCGCTGCGTCCTCGCGGACAAAGGCACCACCTTCATTCCTTAGAAATAACTTGGATCCCCGTCAAACATCTTAATCACACGCCTGGCGCGTATGTCACCGGCCGCGGGCGGGCCCGGCGGGCGCCCCG